TGTTGTGTTTAGATTTGAGAAGGAGCACATGATAAGAATGAGAAAAGTTGTTTCAAAAAGTTTGAAAAAAACATGCACGAAAACTGTAGAAGGCGTGTTTATAACAGACATGAGGTCGAATTGAGTAGGGGCATCAACTTGTTCGTCTAACTTCTCCCACAAGAAAAGTATAATCACAAGGACGTTTGGCCCCACCAAATTTATCAATAATAATAATAATAACACTTTTATATCACTTTACCATCAAATCAGATTAGTTTAAGCCTTAACAGATTAATGAATTATATGACAAATTGCTTAATTTTAATATTCACTGTAGCTTCTGATTTGGTGAAGTAATAAATTTTTCGGGGTAACCATTCATAGAAACTAAAAGAATAAAAGCATGAAACGACGAAACACAAGGCAAAGAAAAAGTGAATGGCTGTCACACCAAGAAGTTTAAATTTACTTTTCTTTTTCAAACAAAAAAGTAACATAATGTTCCTTTTACATAGATTATTGAAGAGATAATTATCATGTATCTTTTCCTCTTTAGCATGGATTTTAGAGGAGTGTGTGGAGAATACAAGATGAAATAAAATGTTATTCTGAATTTTATTCTTGACAAAAGCAAGTTGAGAATACGAATTAGTAATCATAATTGTTACATTAAAAAAAATATTTTTAATTAGTAATCATAAATATACTAAATGCACAATAATAATATAGAGTTTATAATATTATGTACCATCCTCCAATCATAAAATGTATTAAGTTGTATTTTAAAAGATAATGAAATGAGTAGACTAATACATCACACTACCATATATAACTATATTGCACTGTCGACATCTATCATTTTACTATAGTGCACTATCCGCATCTATCATTTTTTTAACATGTTTTAATGTTGCTTCTCTCCATATCCTATATTATCTCTGCTCTTGTGAAGTTCATGGTCATTCGAAATAGATAACAACACTAAAATAAAAAATACACAGAGTAAATTAGAGATAATTTAAAATTTATAAATTTTAAATAAAAGAAAATTTTTATAATGGTAATAATGGAATCACTATACGACTTCTCTTAAATAATATAATATACACCAAAAACTCTCATGGTCCATTCATATATCAAGAACCATAGGGTAAATTTTCGGAAAACTGATATTTTGACTAGCTTTCTGAGATCATGTACATGTTATTACTCTTTCACTCTTGTCTCTCAAGAGTAATAATATCATGTTTCAATTGCTTCTGGATCTATTGAGCACAATAAGGTAAATTCTATATCTCATGAGTTTGACTACTTGCCAAAACTCCAAATATGAACCTCCATTGACTCTCACACCTAGTTATTTTCTTTTACATGAATCAAATTACTAGTTGAGTCAGGATTATCTCATTTCAATCCTCTATCGTCAATACGGTACATATAATATAACACATGATAGCATTCCCATCTTAGGAATCATTATTTTCTTGCTCCATTCGGTTCATATCAAATCATAACGAATTCTACTAGATTTAAACTAATTATATTGTTTTAGATCACTAAGTTCTCGCTTAGTGAAGTCACGTCTCATTCAGTAAGTATCCCTTGGGAGGAGATTCACCCAACGACCATAGCACTTGCTTAGTGAGAAGGCTACTCTGATGTTCTCTAACTTTATTTAAAATCTTCTTGCTCAACGACATACATGCTTGCTCAACAAGAGAGCATTGGAACTAAATCTCTTAAAAATTGGCCATACAAGATTCTCTCACTCAACAAGGGAAGCACACACCTTGCTCTTGAGTTTTCAACATTCTCAGATTCGCATAACCAAGCTTAACTCACTTAGCAAGTATAACCCTTGGAACTGCTTTAACAAGCTTGCTCAACGAGAAATGACTTGTCCAACAAAACAAAATGTTGGAGCTCTCTAACTTGCAAATTATACACTCTTGTTCATCAAGCCATATGCTTACTCAACGAGTCTACATATTATGCAGGTTAGTTATAGTGTACTCTTAACCAACTTATATTTGTTTTTCACTTATTTTCTACTGGAAACATGCATAATCTTACTTATTAAACAATCTCAAGCAACAAGTTCAATCAGGTCATAATCATATTCACAAATATCATTAGTGTAGACAACTCAAAATCAGTGATAAAGCATCAATTCAACCAATCACTTCAAAAATGTAAAGTTATCATTTTGGACAAATTTACCCAATCAATTCATTAATTTCATCAATCATCAATAATAATTAAATTTTAAACAAGCTTTCCTTAGTTGTTGTAGAACACACTTTTCTTTCTTAAGAATGTTCTTAGAGCTCTATATCACACAAGATCCTCAAACTACCTATATCAAAATTCAACAAAGATTCACTTTGAGTAAATTTGAGGCATATGCATGGTCAACATAACTAGTTGTACCTTAACATGGTAAAATGCCTCTAAAAACATAGAAAAAGTAATCTTACCCCTATTTTTGTTTTTGATAGGACACATGAAGATTTTTTTTGTGCTGACTCCATTAATAGTTCTTGATCGTCAAAAGGATGAACAATTAGATCAACAACTCAAGGTAGAAAAAGTTTTGAAAGAAGTTTTTAGAGAGATAAAATATTTATATAAAATAAAATTTGATTTTTAGAAAAGTATTTATAGTTCAACATTTTATTAATAAAATAATGAACATAATTTTGTTTTAAAATCCATATCTACTACTCTTTACCCCTTTTCTAGATCCTTAAGAAAGGAAATTGAATAGAAAATTTACTTTAGTTATATATTAATATATTTTAAAAAAATGATTTATTAAATATTTTTTAATATAATTTATGAAATATGTATTATAATAATTTAATATATTTTTTAAATAATTTGATAAAAAAATTAATTTTTCTAAAGTTATAAGAAAATTAAAAAATAAATTAAAAAAATTATTATATTTTCTTAATACATAAAAAAATATATTTTAAATAAAAACATATCAAAATAAATTATTTTACTTAATATTAAGTAAAATTTATTTATTTTATTTGTTTACTATTTAATTTTAGTTACTTATCTATAAAATATAATCAATAATAAAATTAATTTATTAAAAATACTAGGTTGTAATTAAAACTGAATAATATGTAAATATAATATAATGTTAAAAATATTATATGATATTATATGCATAATTGATTGTCTAATTAAATATAATTTTATAGTTTCAATTATGGAATTTGAATTTTGAAGAAAAAAAGTTTGCTCACTCTGAAGGTCGTTGATTGCTGCAATTTTCGATGGAGTATGTCCTATTGTTTTCGTCTTTTTTTTTTCATTGTTTCTATCCTCTCTTTCGGAAAATATCTTTGGGATGATTTGGCTTCATCAAATATGTGATGGCAAATATCAACAAAGATTTGAACCTTACCTTAAAATATTCAACATCAGGTTAAAACAAAACCTGGTTCAAAGCAAACAAAAATACTAAATGTAAAACAAATTCCCACAAAAAAAATAAAAATAAAAATAAAACAGAACCATAAAACCAATCCAGGAAACAGAGGAAAATGAAAGCAAAACCATAAAACAACCAAAATCAAATTAGAATCAGAAATATAATTAAAAAGCAGAACCTGAAGTGGAATAAAAAACCAGGAAACAGAACCAAAAACGGAAAAACTAAATGACATGTTGCTCAGAGCTTCAATCATGCTTCGATTTGACACATAGTAAAGGGAAATGATACTTGAACAACAGAATTTGACAACATTTTGACACGAGACAGGTGTCAAAATGCTAGTGGTCCACATGGAAAATGGTTTGAGAATTTTTAATGACGTGGAAAGAGAGTTTGCAGAGAGGTTTGAAATTTCGGGGTTTGCATTTCCAGTTTTCACATTTTGAATTTGGGGCATTGGTAGAGAGAGAAGAGAAGATTGAGAGAGAGCGGGAACCTTAGAGCGAGAGTGAGTCTTCCTCCGACCAGCCACAAGTGTCGCGAGAGTCCGTCTTCTTCCACCCAGCCAGTTCCGATTGAGGGTCGCCGCAGCTCCGGTGTTGGCAGACGAAACGAAGACGGCATCGTCTTCCCTCCGACCCAACCAACTTTCCTCCCACCCGCTTCCTTCCCTGTGCCCGACCCTTGCGATGGCCGCCGGAGCATCGCCGTCGCCGGAGTGTCGCCTGAACGGAAGGAATCGTGAACGGTAGATAGAGTCCCTCTTCCTCCGACCTAGGCAGACATTGTGGTTTTTTGAGGTAGTAGCGTGTTCCCACTTGGTTCCTTCCCTTGACCGGCGTAGTGCCTTGTTCGCCGGAGTTCCGGGTGTGGAACTATTGTCCGAACCCGTGACTGACGGAGTGTCGAGCGTGACAATCCTTTGTGCGTAGGTGTGTTTTATTTGATTTGTAATTTTTTAGGCCCGATTTTGGTAACGTTATTTTGATGGTTGTGGTTGATATATTGTCTATGGTTGTTTTGTGTTGCTGTAGTGTATGGATGAACTTGGTGAACAAAGTAAAGGTCAAGATACAACGAAGAAGGTATGTAGGATTGTATTTGATTTGCATACATTTATTGTTTGACTGTATTTAAATAGTAAGCATGACTTCGTATGCAGTTAGTGTTCAAACACTACTGCAAAACCAAGATGATAGGTCTTTTGAACGAACAGTTGACTTTTGAGCAGAAGGGTTACATTGAGAAGATCGTTGTCAAAGTACACCGGTTCAACATGAGCAGCAAACCCCGGTGTTTGAAGGTGGTTTTGAAATGCAACAAAGCACAATGTATGATCGTATNAAGAATAAACGGCCTAATAAGATGAGTGGGATGTACTCAAGGCTAAAGACACTATTATATATTAAAAAAAAAAAAAATCTTCAGCCACAACTTGTTATTTCTCATAGCTCTTACTGTAGTAAAAATATATTTTCTCTTATAGTATGTATGTGCTATAATTACTTTTTTGAAGGCCTCTGATGTAATTTTGTTCTCAGAAAGACCTTGCAGTAAAACCCCCAGCCAAGTTTTATTGCAGTTAAAGAGAGCAATGAAGAAGAGGGAAGAAGAACACTGTTATCTCTATTAAATATATGAGTACAACACAGTTTGTGCTATCATATCTGTACAAAACCATGAAGCAGTAGGATCCAATCCAACATGAGAGAAATGATGCAAAAAGAAGACATGCTTTATCAGCTACCACCCATGGAAGCTCTACAATTATCTTCTCTTTATTTGAGAATGGATTATCTTTCTGAAAAATTGGAAAGAAGTTAATTAGCAAGGTAAACAAATCATACACTAAAATTGAAACAAGAAAAATAGGGAAAAGTGTGACCAGACCTATTGATCTTTTGCAGTGGAGAACTGCTTCATAGATTGAGTTCTCATGATCATGCAAAGCACCAATTGGACTGATAGAGCTTGATTTTGGAGATGCTTGGTGTGAACTGCTCCAGCTATTAACAAGCCAGTCTTCCTTGTCAAAATCATCAACTTTAGTATTTTTCCTTGAGCTTGCAACTCTCTGGCATAGTTGGTTGACATACCTAGAAAGGTTTCTCAAGGTTCTACATGTGGAGGTTTTCCACCTTGTGAGAAAACCATGATGAATTTGCAGAGTTCTTGGAGAAACAATTCTAGAAGAAAAGGAAGAAACAGGCTGGGATTGGAGTGTGGAATCTTGGGTGGTTTTGCAGGAGTCTAACTCGGAAGGGCCAACAGAGAGTGGTTTGATAAGGCCGTTAGAGAAAAGTTCATCAGCATGAGCAAGAACAGCAGGAGAGTGAGTGAAGGAAATATCAAAATTGAAGCTTTGCCATTCTTCCATTAATGGGGAATTGCACGTAGATGATGATTCCCTCAGAAGTTCCTGAAGGTCATTTGCAAAGGGTTTGCAGTTTGATAACCAACCATAAGAGAAGCTATCAGTGGCTAGAGGCAGTGAGGTTTCCATTTGCAAGCAACGATTTTTCAGGTTATGATGAATAAAAAAAGTATATGCAACAAAGACGTTATTGGTATAGCTTATAGTGACAAAACAATGATGACCACAAGGGGAAAGTTCGTCTATTCTATCAAGGTCAAGCAGGGGACAAATGGAACAACATGAGCGAAAAATTGTACTCACTTTAAGTAGTAACTTCAACATGTTTTCTCATCTTGTTATTGTCTTCCATTTTCATTGGACAGACATAGGATAAATCACAGATCAACCCTCGTGAAAAAAAATACATATTTATAGAAAATCAGATAACCATTTTCATTTCAACCAACTTTCTGTCACACCAAACAACAAATGAATGCCAATCTTTACGTGTCAAAAATATGATTTTGCAATGGTCATACATAAAGTCAATCATAATAGCCATATCCAGCATAGATTGTCAAACTACGTAAGATCAATCAAAGTTCAAAACAACTATACTAAGTTTATATAAATTACTCAACAAGTACTCAAGGAACAATGAAATAGAACTAGATTAATCATATTTCTTAGGTAATTTAAAATTAACATATTCATCTTAATTTTGTCATTTTTTTTTTCGTTTAACTCCTCCATGAACACTTATAAATTGGCCCTGTATATAAGTTGTTTTTTTAAATTAAAAATAAAAAGCTTATCTTAAATTAGAAATCGAAGTTCCTATTAAGTTAGAAGGTAGTTTAAATTGACAGAAAAACATAACGATATTACAGAAAAGTCTTAATTTGTGAACTTTCACAATCGACAAAAACTTTGTAAACACACCAAAGGTTCTTAGAAAAAAGTGGAATTAATAACAGAGGAGTAGAAGATTTTTAAATGTAGAGGTTGTAAAATATTAGGACATTGTTGTGTGCTGTTGTGTTTAGATTTGAGAAGGAGCACATGATAAGAATGAGAAAAGTTGTTTCAAAAAGTTTGAAAAAAACATGCACGAAAACTGTAGAAGGCGTGTTTATAACAGACATGAGGTCGAATTGAGTAGGGGCATCAACTTGTTCGTCTAACTTCTCCCACAAGAAAAGTATAATCACAAGGACGTTTGGCCCCACCAAATTTATCAATAATAATAATAATAACACTTTTATATCACTTTACCATCAAATCAGATTAGTTTAAGCCTTAACAGATTAATGAATTATATGACAAATTGCTTAATTTTAATATTCACTGTAGCTTCTGATTTGGTGAAGTAATAAATTTTTCGGGGTAACCATTCATAGAAACTAAAAGAATAAAAGCATGAAACGACGAAACACAAGGCAAAGAAAAAGTGAATGGCTGTCACACCAAGAAGTTTAAATTTACTTTTCTTTTTCAAACAAAAAAGTAACATAATGTTCCTTTTACATAGATTATTGAAGAGATAATTATCATGTATCTTTTCCTCTTTAGCATGGATTTTAGAGGAGTGTGTGGAGAATACAAGATGAAATAAAATGTTATTCTGAATTTTATTCTTGACAAAAGCAAGTTGAGAATACGAATTAGTAATCATAATTGTTACATTAAAAAAAATATTTTTAATTAGTAATCATAAATATACTAAATGCACAATAATAATATAGAGTTTATAATATTATGTACCATCCTCCAATCATAAAATGTATTAAGTTGTATTTTAAAAGATAATGAAATGAGTAGACTAATACATCACACTACCATATATAACTATATTGCACTGTCGACATCTATCATTTTACTATAGTGCACTATCCGCATCTATCATTTTTTTAACATGTTTTAATGTTGCTTCTCTCCATATCCTATATTATCTCTGCTCTTGTGAAGTTCATGGTCATTCGAAATAGATAACAACACTAAAATAAAAAATACACAGAGTAAATTAGAGATAATTTAAAATTTATAAATTTTAAATAAAAGAAAATTTTTATAATGGTAATAATGGAATCACTATACGACTTCTCTTAAATAATATAATATACACCAAAAACTCTCATGGTCCATTCATATATCAAGAACCATAGGGTAAATTTTCGGAAAACTGATATTTTGACTAGCTTTCTGAGATCATGTACATGTTATTACTCTTTCACTCTTGTCTCTCAAGAGTAATAATATCATGTTTCAATTGCTTCTGGATCTATTGAGCACAATAAGGTAAATTCTATATCTCATGAGTTTGACTACTTGCCAAAACTCCAAATATGAACCTCCATTGACTCTCACACCTAGTTATTTTCTTTTACATGAATCAAATTACTAGTTGAGTCAGGATTATCTCATTTCAATCCTCTATCGTCAATACGGTACATATAATATAACACATGATAGCATTCCCATCTTAGGAATCATTATTTTCTTGCTCCATTCGGTTCATATCAAATCATAACGAATTCTACTAGATTTAAACTAATTATATTGTTTTAGATCACTAAGTTCTCGCTTAGTGAAGTCACGTCTCATTCAGTAAGTATCCCTTGGGAGGAGATTCACCCAACGACCATAGCACTTGCTTAGTGAGAAGGCTACTCTGATGTTCTCTAACTTTATTTAAAATCTTCTTGCTCAACGACATACATGCTTGCTCAACAAGAGAGCATTGGAACTAAATCTCTTAAAAATTGGCCATACAAGATTCTCTCACTCAACAAGGGAAGCACACACCTTGCTCTTGAGTTTTCAACATTCTCAGATTCGCATAACCAAGCTTAACTCACTTAGCAAGTATAACCCTTGGAACTGCTTTAACAAGCTTGCTCAACGAGAAATGACTTGTCCAACAAAACAAAATGTTGGAGCTCTCTAACTTGCAAATTATACACTCTTGTTCATCAAGCCATATGCTTACTCAACGAGTCTACATATTATGCAGGTTAGTTATAGTGTACTCTTAACCAACTTATATTTGTTTTTCACTTATTTTCTACTGGAAACATGCATAATCTTACTTATTAAACAATCTCAAGCAACAAGTTCAATCAGGTCATAATCATATTCACAAATATCATTAGTGTAGACAACTCAAAATCAGTGATAAAGCATCAATTCAACCAATCACTTCAAAAATGTAAAGTTATCATTTTGGACAAATTTACCCAATCAATTCATTAATTTCATCAATCATCAATAATAATTAAATTTTAAACAAGCTTTCCTTAGTTGTTGTAGAACACACTTTTCTTTCTTAAGAATGTTCTTAGAGCTCTATATCACACAAGATCCTCAAACTACCTATATCAAAATTCAACAAAGATTCACTTTGAGTAAATTTGAGGCATATGCATGGTCAACATAACTAGTTGTACCTTAACATGGTAAAATGCCTCTAAAAACATAGAAAAAGTAATCTTACCCCTATTTTTGTTTTTGATAGGACACATGAAGATTTTTTTTGTGCTGACTCCATTAATAGTTCTTGATCGTCAAAAGGATGAACAATTAGATCAACAACTCAAGGTAGAAAAAGTTTTGAAAGAAGTTTTTAGAGAGATAAAATATTTATATAAAATAAAATTTGATTTTTAGAAAAGTATTTATAGTTCAACATTTTATTAATAAAATAATGAACATAATTTTGTTTTAAAATCCATATCTACTACTCTTTACCCCTTTTCTAGATCCTTAAGAAAGGAAATTGAATAGAAAATTTACTTTAGTTATATATTAATATATTTTAAAAAAATGATTTATTAAATATTTTTTAATATAATTTATGAAATATGTATTATAATAATTTAATATATTTTTTAAATAATTTGATAAAAAAATTAATTTTTCTAAAGTTATAAGAAAATTAAAAAATAAATTAAAAAAATTATTATATTTTCTTAATACATAAAAAAATATATTTTAAATAAAAACATATCAAAATAAATTATTTTACTTAATATTAAGTAAAATTTATTTATTTTATTTGTTTACTATTTAATTTTAGTTACTTATCTATAAAATATAATCAATAATAAAATTAATTTATTAAAAATACTAGGTTGTAATTAAAACTGAATAATATGTAAATATAATATAATGTTAAAAATATTATATGATATTATATGCATAATTGATTGTCTAATTAAATATAATTTTATAGTTTCAATTATGGAATTTGAATTTTGAAGAAAAAAAGTTTGCTCACTCTGAAGGTCGTTGATTGCTGCAATTTTCGATGGAGTATGTCCTATTGTTTTCGTCTTTTTTTTTTCATTGTTTCTATCCTCTCTTTCGGAAAATATCTTTGGGATGATTTGGCTTCATCAAATATGTGATGGCAAATATCAACAAAGATTTGAACCTTACCTTAAAATATTCAACATCAGGTTAAAACAAAACCTGGTTCAAAGCAAACAAAAATACTAAATGTAAAACAAATTCCCACAAAAAAAATAAAAATAAAAATAAAACAGAACCATAAAACCAATCCAGGAAACAGAGGAAAATGAAAGCAAAACCATAAAACAACCAAAATCAAATTAGAATCAGAAATATAATTAAAAAGCAGAACCTGAAGTGGAATAAAAAACCAGGAAACAGAACCAAAAACGGAAAAACTAAATGACATGTTGCTCAGAGCTTCAATCATGCTTCGATTTGACACATAGTAAAGGGAAATGATACTTGAACAACAGAATTTGACAACATTTTGACACGAGACAGGTGTCAAAATGCTAGTGGTCCACATGGAAAATGGTTTGAGAATTTTTAATGACGTGGAAAGAGAGTTTGCAGAGAGGTTTGAAATTTCGGGGTTTGCATTTCCAGTTTTCACATTTTGAATTTGGGGCATTGGTAGAGAGAGAAGAGAAGATTGAGAGAGAGCGGGAACCTTAGAGCGAGAGTGAGTCTTCCTCCGACCAGCCACAAGTGTCGCGAGAGTCCGTCTTCTTCCACCCAGCCAGTTCCGATTGAGGGTCGCCGCAGCTCCGGTGTTGGCAGACGAAACGAAGACGGCATCGTCTTCCCTCCGACCCAACCAACTTTCCTCCCACCCGCTTCCTTCCCTGTGCCCGACCCTTGCGATGGCCGCCGGAGCATCGCCGTCGCCGGAGTGTCGCCTGAACGGAAGGAATCGTGAACGGTAGATAGAGTCCCTCTTCCTCCGACCTAGGCAGACATTGTGGTTTTTTGAGGTAGTAGCGTGTTCCCACTTGGTTCCTTCCCTTGACCGGCGTAGTGCCTTGTTCGCCGGAGTTCCGGGTGTGGAACTATTGTCCGA